CCCCCCCACAACTGGAGTGTCTGCCCCCGAGGGCCCCCCAAAACTGGGTGTCATGACCCCCCACCACATGAGTGTCTGACCCCCCTGGGTACCCCAAAACTGGGTGTCTGACCCCCCCACCATATGAGTGTCTGACCCCCAGGGCACCCCAAAACTGGGTGTCTGACCCCTCCCTGGGAATGCTCTCCAAAACCACACAAGGTCGCTCATCCAATGTTACTTCATGTGACTTCCCAGAATCACTTTATTTAAAGCAAAGCAAGTTTCCAGCCCTCCCCCTTGCAGAGAAACACTTGAAAATGTGTCATCCTGCTCCCCCTCACCCACAGGAGTTTGGAAATCCAACAGGAAAGAAAATAGTATCGATTCATTTTAAATTGCGTTATTTTTAAGCCAGTGTCGTGGCTGCCCGGGCGTCCAGCCCTCCATCCATTAAAATAGAGTTTGCCTGACTAGAGTCTACGGCAAGTAGTTGATGTTTTCATTGCCACCTCTACCCCTTTCCGTTTTTATGGTGTGCACTTCTGCCATGCCCCTTAAGAGGGCACCATAAGCAATAATACTTTCGTATACTGTAAAACAACACATGAAAAATCCTTCCTTGATTAATACCATCTTCCCTCAATAAGCCAAACTGTGGTCTGTGGAAAGCTTGCTGGTTATCATAATCTACAAGCTCTCCTCCTCACTTTCTTCAGCTAAATCACCACATCTAGGCCCACTAAATCAAAGGTCAAGGGCACCCCCATCAATTGCTAAAGTCCTCCCTGCTGTGAGGAGTGAGGGAAGTCAAGCATTTCTCCTGTCACCCTCCACTGGGGGAACGGCACCAGAGTTCAGCTTAAGATACCTCAGTTCCAGCAACATGATTTCCACAGCTGGAACTGCATACCTTACGCCACGACTGCTCAGCTCTGGAAGCCTTGGGGGCCGCACTGGTACTCACAGCACATGCCGAGGGCCGCAATAGCTTCTTTCACACAGACGGGCATGAATACGAAGATGAAGGCAAAATTATACAACACGCAGGCCCCATTGAAGTCAGTTCTGCTGATATTAATAACATGCAATAGTTACCTGATTTCCACCCATACGACAGCACTTTTCATGAGCAGTGACAGTCCAGGAATGTAACTACTAAAACACATCTCAACAAAAGACCATTATATTGGCTACTTTTTTTTTTTTTTTTGGCTCCCTGTGTAAACCCAAACCGCACCATAGCCCTGCCTTATGCTGACCTTCCCTGTAGCATAGGGATATAAGCCACACTTCAGCCAGCTCGGTACTAGGTTCATTTAAGGTACGCAATACCAGCTATCTAAATAAGGAATGTAAATAACCTGCAAGCACAATGCTTCACATTCTTTTTTTATTGAAGTCATTTTATGACCCCCCCTCCCCTCCCCACACACACACACTGTGGCTACGTCTAGACTGGCATGATTTTCCACAAATGCTTTTAACGGGAAAGTTTTCTGTTAAAAGCATTTGCGGAAAAGAGCGTCTAGATTGGCACAGACGCTTTTCCGCAAAAGCACTTTTTGCGGAAAAGCGTCCGTGCCAATCTAGACGCGCTTTTGCGCAAAAAAGCCCCGATCGCCATTTTCACGATTGGGGCTTTTTTGCGCAATACAAATCTGAGCTGTCTACACTGGCCCCTTTGCGCAAAAGCTTTGCGCAAAAGGACTTTTGCCCGAACGGGAGCAGCATAGTATTTCTGCAAGAAGCACGGATTTCAGACAGTAGGAAGTCAGTGTTCTTGTGGAAATTCAAGCGGCCAGTGTAGATAGCTGGCAAGTTTTTCCGCAAAAGCAGCTGATTTTGCGGAAAAACTTGCCAGTCTAGACACAGCCACAGTGTGCAAACAATGCAAGAAAATTAATTGTTAGGGAGGCATATTTTTAATTCAAGACCAATTTAAACAACAATGCCTGGGGAAGGAAGTAGGGTTCTCTACAGCAATGAAAGTCACTCTTGCAATTTGACAGTGACTCTTTATTTGGTGTTTTTCTTAAAGCCCCTGCACTTTGAGTCATAGGATTATACAAGAACTGCAGTTTTCAGTTGCTTTTTTAAAGAAAGTTTTTCTCTTTTGTGGTTGCAGAGAAAAGCTGGAAAGCGTGAATCGCCACAGGCTCAGAAGAATCCCAAATGTATTTTTTCTTTACATCTCAATTGTAAATGTCATTCATGATTGGAGGGGGGAGGGGTCACCTCTTGGGCTTTGCTGAACGATTGTTTCTCTTATAGCAATATTGCCAAACCTGGACAGCTCTCTAAAAACTACTTAGCCTGATATCAATCTTGCTTCTTGTGACCAGCAACCTTCCTCTAGGCCTGGGCGCACACACTCATAACCAGTGTCCCCTGTAAGCTGTGTACTTGGACAGCCACCCAGGAGAGAGTCAGGTGCCACCCCACTTCTTAGCATAGCACCCCAGTGACCAGCGTGTGTTTCTACTGGTGGTAGTGCACAGCAGCACATAAAATTTATTCTGCATATGAATGCAAAAAAATTAGAGGAAATGTTGCTCATAACCCTCTTAAAGGTGGCACGGATATTCCTGGCACATGTAAACTTTCTCTCTTAAGCAAGCAAACAGCAACTTCATTTTCTCATGTCACTTTCTTCGTTAGCCACCTCCCATTAGGTGAAATGTAGATGGAAAAGGTTCTTGAAGGTTTTTTTTTTTTTTTAATCTTTCTCTTGGGATTCATGGACTACAAAGGCAGAATTGGGCCCATTCAGTCCGGCTGGCAGAGATACCTTTACGCTTCACCCAAAGCAGGGCATCCAAGCCAGCCTTCGCCATTGTGAACAGGAAGCAAAAGTGGAAAACTACACTTCCCAGAGATCTTTGAGGGGGGAAAAAAAACCTTTGGCTTTGACAGCAGCAGCCACAAGTCTTTCCGCCTCCAAATCCTGATGGCAGAGTGGAGAGATTATGGTGGACTCACAAATGCTGCCTCTGGGGCCTGGAAAGGGATCGAATTGCCTGCTCTCCCATGCTGCCGCTAACCAGGAGGAGGAAGAAAAAACCAACCACCAGCCCAGCAGGACTGCTGCTTCCAGCTGCCGATTTGCACTGAATTGCCTCGCCTAGTGCCTGATGGTTCTCACTGTAGGTTCCCCACTCCGGAGATAATTTGCAAGCTGGAATTCGCTCTGCCCCAGAGATGCTCCTGGTGACTGGTGGCTTGCGCTGGAGGAGCATTTGGTTAGCCCAGTAAAACTTTTTCCTGGTCCTTATGCAATTTGTCTTTGCAACGGGAAGGATTTCCTTGAAGAAGAAAAACAGCAACAGCACCCCAGGAGGAGAAAATTCAAGGAAAGGGCTGGGCAGGGCTGTCACCAAGATGGCTCATGAGTTGCCATGGTTGCTGCTGTGGCTCGGGGCTGGGGGGGGGGGAGCCAGCCACCCCCCC